GTTTCTTTAAAATATTTAAAAATGCTTAAGTAATCATCTTATTGAAAATAATAAACTTGTAAACTAAATTATTGTTTTTTTCATATTTCTTGCATACTTCTTGGCGTACATAAAGAATTTTAATCTTATTAATATTGTTCTTCTTTTTAAAATTATTTATCATTAAAAATATTGCTTTTGATTAAATATATTACAATTTATATACAATTACAATATATTTATTATTCCAAAATAAAATATTTGTGAACGTATGTAAAATGTAAACTATAAATGAAATACTATACTGTCCTTATAATAATAATGTCTATATAAAAATCAATTAAAAGTATTAAACTGTATAGATATATGATAATAGTCTCTATATCAAAGCGTTCGATTTGTGCAATATTTTTTTTTTCTAAAATTCTGAATCAAAAATCTCTGGAACGGTTAAAACAATTTTTGTGACTATATTAGGTAAAAAATGTATTTCTACTAAATAATGCAATGCAATGCAAAATAAAATTTGAGACCTTTTCAATTTGATTTAACTTTCAACACAATTTAAATTTTATGGTTCAAATAAATTCATAAAATTTTTTTTAGTTTATAAACACAGAAACGTGATATTTATTAATAGGATTATTATGATCGGTGCAGAATCATATTTCAAAACTATAAATTGTAGTTGTATGTATATATCTGCATATAGAAATATGTATATGAATTTTTATTTTCAAAGTTAACTTCTATAAAAAAAAAATATTTTTTTTTTTCTCTCTCATTTATAATTTGACTGTAAATCATAAATTTCAACGTGTTTAAATAGATTGTTAATTCAATAAATTTATTTAATGTCAAATTTAATTTCTAAATATTTTTATTTTGAATACTCATATATTTTATATATGTACATATATAAAACATGTACATATGAATATTACATGTAATTATAAAAAAGGTATGCGAGATTCGATGGTATGCGACTTCCGAAACAGAGTGATATTGAATAGATCAAGATGAATAGATTTTAGGTTTCGAGTTCGTGTACGTATTATTCTTGAAATTTTTGTCTCTTATTTGGTCTCAATGAATCAAAATTTTTGTGGCTCATTTCAATGGGAGTATTGCAATTTGTTAGACGCCTCTTTATGCTCTTTTTAACATTTAAGACAAAATCTAAAATTTTAGAAAGACCGATTTTGAGGTCGCCCAATAACTCAAGAAGTTGAATAACGCCAATCGAATAAAAACAAATATCTCTCTCCATTCTCATTCCATTTTATTGCCTTGTTGGGAAAATCTTGGACACGCTGTATACAATATGAATATATAAATATTTTTGTATATCTAGATATTTATTAATTTTCATGCAAAATAATTTTGATTTTTTCCCATTTACTAAAATTTTTCTTAAATGTTAATGAGGTTTTTTTCAAAAAAATAGAAAAATAAAAAAAGTTTCTAATTTAAAATAGCCGCTATTAATCAAAAATATCACCTTTATAAATATTACTTATAAGTATATACCGGGCAACATCTATATAAACAAGTATTTTTTCTCCATTTTCAAAACGTTTTTTTTTCTAATTTTTTTAATGTTGTTTTACTATATATGAAAATTTATTTAGCCTAACTGCAATAAGATTTTTCAACAACTAACTAACTGATATTTTAACTATATAAAAATTTAATTTTTGGAAATTAGTATATGGTTTTTTTGCATAAAATATCGTTGTATATTTAGTTACTTAATTATTATAATGTTACAAAGTTTTGTTGTTATTTTTATTTTCTTTTGCTTAATCTGTATAGTCTAAATAGTGTATATGGTAATCAGCATTGATTATAAAAAAAAATTTATAAAAATAAATTACGAATAAAATAAAAAAAAATTAAATTGGTAAATTTGGTTTTGAATCCAGACTGAGAAAAGAATGTCTGTAAGGTGATAGTAACGAGCAAAATATAACTTTTATAGGTTTCATTTATGTACGCTTTAATATACAAAAAAATTCATTGAAAAATTGAATGCGATACTATTTTCAGTCATAAAGTATATATACATATATGCAAATGTATAATAATACATATGTACATTTTTTGTTTCTAAATAAAATATAGCGATTTGGTTTTGTCTAAATTAACCACAACTATACAAAAAAAAAACTGAAAGAATAATACAGAAGAAAAATTGAATAAAATTGAAACATATAGGCATAATATTTATAACAACAACAATAAATAGTCCGCATACATACAAACAAATATACATATATATATTATATAAAAAAATTGTGAAAATTAACATACATACATACTAAGAAATGTTTAAACCATAAGAAAAACAAAAAAAACGAGTTAATTTATATTGGTATATAAAAAAATAAAAGAAATATATTTTAAAATATACCTACAAATACCTGAAAATATTGGAAAAAAAAAATATTTATAAATATTTATAACAATTTACGTGGTCAGATGTTGCAAACGTTCTAGTTTTTTCTTTTTAATTATTTAAAACACAGTGATGCTCAAAATATCTAGTGGTTGTGCGTTGTTTTTGATTAAATTGCATTATATAATTTTTTCTTAATTGTTTTTGCTAAAGACGGCAACACCAAATTCATTTTCATATTGTTTTCATAACACATTACACATATACAACATTAATTATGACGTTCCAATATAGGACTTTAGGTGTATAACACTCAAATCTACTAATTTATGCAAAAGAGTTATAGAATACAAAGGAATTTTATAAAACAAAATCATTTTAAGATATATAAAATTCGAAAATTGAGCTCAAATAGGCTATTATATATACTTAAGCTCAATACAGATTGCAGTGCTATCCGAAATCTTCCTTCTCATAATCTATATAATCGAAACATTTTCGAAACTTCAGGGCTGCGAAGAAGCGTATTCGAAAACTAAATCAGAAATCTAGAATACAGAAAATTTGGTGTTAATATAAACTACAAATTTTAATTACTGCAATTTTTTTTTACAATAATATAATAAAAATATATTATACATATTTTATGACATAATACAAAATTGTATAAAATTTTCTACTGAAACTATACTACACAAATAAATACTTCTATTCTAACACAGAAATTGAAGAGAAAATTGTCAAATTATACCTATGCTAATTTAATTTAAACAGAAACACTGTCTTTACTACCTCTCAATTTTCAGTATATGTTATACATTTTTTACAGTTTACTGCTGTTGTTATAATAATTTATTTGTATAACATTATTTCTTAGAGAAACAATGAAAAGAATTTTGTATTTTCAATTAAAACCAAAAGTTTAGATTATCGATTAAAAGTGGTTCGCAGAATGAGTAAAAATATTTTTGAAGTACTGAAATATCTTCGATATATAATATGCATAAACAACTATCTATGTATGAACTTATATAATTTTCATTAAATGAAAAAGAATCAAATTATAGTTATATGATTATGTATAACAATATTAGTCGGTATATATTAACTCTCAGAAAAAAAAACATAAAAAAAATGAAAAATTAAAACAATTTTTGCTTTCTTAAAATTTTCAAATGGCCTTTATCGACCTTGCCGTTTAATAATTTCTGTCATTTAAATCTACATACATACTTGTAGAAAGAACAGATAAAATTGAAAATTACAGTTGATTTTTGTTTTTTATTTTTCATTTTTCTTGTATTTTTTTATTATTTTTCTTCTAATATTATAAATATGGTTTGAATAGAATAAAAATAAGAGACAAAAAAAAAATCACCTGCATGCATTGAAAATTTATCGTATATAAGTATAAAACGCGATCCCAATTTATAGGTCAGTAACTTTTCAATTTGACAATAGAAAATTAATATGAAATTAAAAATAATTTTTATGACAATCGTTTTGTGTAAACCCTCATTATACATTTTTTTAATAATTTTATTAATATTTGGGATTTAATTTCGTATGCAAATTTAATTATGCTTTTTACATTAATTTCCAATACAAATTTATGCATATTTATGTATGTTTATTATGTATATATAATTAATATAAAAATATTTTATCAAATTCCAATTTCATATGTGGGTATAATTTCCAGTATGTCATTCTTATAATTATTTTGACAACTTAAACATAATTTAATCACATTTATTTCAATAATAAAATAGTGAACATACGAAAAAATTTTTAATAAATTTACATAACCACATAATAAATATTCAAACAAACATTATACATATGTACGTGATTTGCATACTTGCTGATGTAAATGCTAATAGCATATGTAAGGGAGTAGTTTGCATAACTATAGGAGTAAAACGAATTCGTTTTGTATGTTTAGTACGTTTAAAACACATTTAGCAATTAACGCAGTTTAAAGTATGATTGTTCAAACAAATTCGTTCTGCTTTCTTTGTCGAAGGAATTCTAAACGCTAATTCGAATAATTAACGAATTCGAATTTTGTTCTCTTTATGTACGAATATCTATAACTAGTTTATTTACATACACATATGTATGTATATAAAATAATGTTTTGATTTAATCAGTATTTCTAATATTTTTCTGATACTTTTTGATATCCTTAACATGGTGTATAACGATTTCATAATCTAATGCTAATAAAAAATATGAAAAGAGAAGAAAACAAGAAAACAAAAAAAATATTTTAGAATTTGAATTTATTCCCCTCATAATTTAAATTTTCGTTTTTTTTTTTGTTGCTTTTTTTTTTGCAAATCAGCGATAACAAGAAAGTTGAAACCGAAACTAAAAAACAAAACATGAAAATCTACTAGACATGCTGTATACAGCCGAAATTTAATAGATTCAATTAAATTTTATTAATATAATCTTTTTTTTATAGCAAAAATTAACATTTTTTTTTTCACAAAAAAAAAATATTTTTTGTTGTTCTTTTTTGTTTATTTAAGTATTTTGTATACAAATATATACACAAACATATACAAAATTTATAAATAATTAATAATTTATTATTATTTTCCTTGTATATTTTTAGAATGGTTTCGTTAAATGTGATAAGGAAAGCTGTCCGTCAATTGATGATTGCTATTTGTTACAATTGAAAAACTCAACAACATGCTGTGATAAATGTAAAGGTAATATAAATTTATGCACATACGTACATACATATAAATATTTTGAATAAAATTAACATGAAATTATTGAAAACATTTCGAAAAATTTTAATTAAGAGTAAGAGAAAAACGTAAATTTGTAAAATATCTTTGGGATTTGGGAGTTTTAAATTTTATTTGAATTATTTCTCACATTATAATTATTGTGAAGTATGTCAGAATATTTTGAAATGCAATAATCAAAACTTGAAAATTACTTGTCATTGTACATTCATATACCTAGAGAGAATAATTATTATGTGTGGCTTATTAGGAGGCTTATAATTTCATTTGAGAAAGATTTGACAGAGATCTATTGCTCTCTATTTGATTATTATAAACAAAATGATTATTTCTCTGCGAGATCAGACTATACTGTACGTTATTATTAAAACTTGTTTCTTTTAAAAATATAATAATTAAGTTACGACATATTTATTATCAATATTTTTAATTATAATAGAGTTACCATTGTAATAGCAAAAAAGTCATAATTTTCATTACGCATAACTAACAAAAATTGAAAATTATATGAAACTATATTTTAAAATAAACTAATTATATAAATTAGTTGCTAAAATGTGTAAGGAATTTTACAAAATATTAGAAAATATTGAAAATTTTTGTTTAGATTCTGATCATAATTTTTAATGAAATATTTTGAAAAGTTTTAATTTAATTAAAATACTCTTATACGACTTCTTGGTATAAGTGGGTCGAAATTGAAACTTTAGAATCTAGAATTTTTGAGATTCTAGGATCTAGATTTTAATTTTTGATATTTAGAGATCTAGAATAATAATAAAGAATTTTCTATATAATAAACTTAAATTAACATCAGAGTAATATTATGAAATAAAATAAATAAATCAGAATTTTCAATTTTGTTAACTTAAAAATTTTTAATAATAATTAATAAAATATTATTTTTAAATTTTTTAATAGAATGCACATATAAAGGAGTTCAGTATATAAGTGGAACAGAATGGTCAGATCCTGATGATTCTTGTACTAATTATAAATGTGTTTCCGGTGTTATAACTAAAACATCCGTTCAATGTTATACACCATGTAACAATCCATTACCATCAAGACCTGATGAATGTTGCCCGTCATGTCACGGTAAGTTTATTTAATATTAAATATGTAGATTAATTTTCAATAATTTATTACAAAAAATGAAATATTATGTATGTTTAAATTTCATGTTTATTATGTCAATAAAGTCTGTTCTGTCAATAAATATTATGAAAATAGACAGTTGATATAATAAAGTTTTAACGTTCTGTAAAATTCACAAAAATAAAAAAAAAAAATTGTTTTTTTTTTTTTTATTTTTGTGAATAAACCTGAATTCAGTGTCACCATCTGGTGTGCATTAAATTTTAACATATTATTTATTTTGCATAGGTTTAATGTTTGATCAGCCATAATATATTTTTTATAATTATATACAATGTATTTAATGCCTAAATGAATTTTGTCCGAATAAAATAAAAAAGAAATTGAATGCAAACTGTTTTTGTACGCTCAGTTTTAAATTTTATGCAACGCAAAAAATTTCAACTTTGTTGTGAATGCTAAAATTCAATTTTGATCAATATTTTGTTTTTTTTAATTTGATTTTAAAAACTAAATTAAATTTTAGTGCATATTAATTAAAATATAAAGTTGAATAAATTAAATGAAAATTTTTGTGTTTAAGAGCTTTTTCTTAATCTTAAATCTTTTGCCATCTATCTTGCTATTTTTTGAAATTATTAATAATTTATACAGGGTTATTCAGAAAGGTATACAACAAAAATTAAAAAAAGGGAAAAATTTTATTTTTCCTAAAGTTCCTAAATATGGGTATTCCGAAAGTACATAAAATACAAAATAAAGCAACATGGTGTTTTTAAGCCCTTTACTAGGTCTTTCAAGAACTATTTGTGTGAAACCAATTTCTTTTTCGAAACGAAAGTTTTTTGGAAAAAAAACTTGACAAAGCAGAAATTTCATGAAAAATCGTTAAAATTTCTGTAATTTGGAAACCTTTGAAATTAAGTACCTTGTCAAAAGGTTTATCCATTCTCTACCCTCTAACCAATGGTAAATGTTGTTATATACCTTTCTGAATCACCCTTTATATGCCACTTAAATAAATTGACAACAAAATTTAAAAAAATTCCTCAGGATGAAAGAGTCTTTTTTCGGTATAGGAATTCTGAGACTTAAAAAGGACTTATTTTCAAAATTAGTTGTTAATTTATAATTATTTAAAAATTGTATGCTGCATAACAAATTTTGCAGGTATAATAATCATGCATCATATACTATTAAAGCTTTTATCAAAATTCCTGACTTCGAACAGAATTACGAAAATTTTTCAATATTAATGATGTAGAATGGTATTCTGTAACTTGTTCTTCAAGCCATGTATAAGAACAATTTCCAAGAATACCTCCAACGCATTTAAATTTATATACTTTTTTTTATACGGCATTTGGAATCGGGAAGAAATAAGTAAACAGGAAGCTAACGTATATAGGCGCTTGTATTTTTAGCTGTGGTTAATGTTGGTACATTCAAAATAATAAGTCAAACTCAAAAAATTTAGCACAAATTCCTGTTGCAGCAAAAATGCGTCATTTTGTATGATTGCAGATTACAGCGATTTATTACATAACACAATTTATTATTTGTCAGCTTAATCAATATTTTTTTTTCTCTCAAAACAATTTTTATAACAATTTTGTAAATGTTTTAAATTTTTCTTAATTTTTTTCGTGTAAAACTGGTTAATTAACAAAATTTATTGAACAAAAATACTTTATTTAGCTCTCTTTATGTACCTACATACGAGTAATATAAAAGAACAATAATTTTCAATAATGATTATTTTAAAACAATAATAAAATTTATAAGTATGTATAATAAAACAAGAATATTAAATTGTTAAGGAATTTAATTTGGAATGAATTTATAAAAATCACGACAATATTTGAAAAAAAAAAAAAAAATTCATAATTTTTTTTTTCCTTTCGGTTTTGATTTGTTCTTCATTGAACCCGATTTACCTTTATTGCAGAGACCAATTTTAAGAGACAAAGTGGGTGGTCGTCTTGGTATTTTTATTGTTATTTTTTTCAATTTTTTTTTTTGTTTTTTGTTTTCTATACTTTGTTGAATCGTTTTTGGTTTTTAATATACGAGATTATTTCAATGTTAATGCCTGGGAAATTTAAAAGGTAAACTACATTTATACATGAAAAAAAATTATCTTTTTGTTTCAGAGATTTTTTGGTTCATTTCTGTACGTTTTTTTCATTTTACTCTAAATATTTTTTTTTTGATTCTACAAACAAAAACAAAATTCTTGCCTTAAGGTTTTTCTACTTTTCTTATTCGTCGATTACCACTCCGTTTTTTTTTCTTGTTTGTTCTTCCATTCGCTTTTGAATATTTTTATAGTTTTAAGTCTCCTCTTGACCATAAGTTTAAAGAAGTTAAATCAATTTTATTTTCCAAAATCGCTGTGTATAATTCCATAATAAAGTAATAACAGCAGCAGCTGAAATAAAATCCTATATACAAAACTATAAAGAGAATAAGAGTAATATTTCTTATTTTCTTTTTGTTTTGGTTTTTCTTAGTTTTAATTTTGATTTTTTTATTATTTTTTGTATCAAAAAATATAATAAATTTTTATTATTCTCTTTCTCTCTCTCTTCATGTTAATGCATAATGATAGTAGTAAAGGATGATGTCCATGATGAAGATGATGTTTACTGAATGGGTGATGATCGGTTATATCTGATATAAATATCAAATTGCTTCTCCATCTCAAAGTCGGCGCATTGAATACCGCGCATGTTCGAACATTCATGCTCATTTATACAATATCAATATATGAGTAAAATGAATATGTACAAAGGGGCGAATGTAATAAAAATCGGCGCGTAGTAAGTTAACTTGATTGTTTTATCATAAAAATTGATGATTCGTAATTTTGTTCGAGTTAGAGAAAGGGAAGATGAAGGGGGTAAGAGGGAAATGAATTATCAAAAATTAAAAAATTAAAGAAAAAGAAACAAATACATACATTTACTTCTTTTGTTTTTAAAGAAGAGTATTTTGATGAATATTTTTCATCTGTATAGAGAAATACTGCTGTGCTTTGATTATGATAATAAATTTAAGTCATGGAGTATACATATGAAAATACAAGTGAATATGTCTATTTAAATAAATTTCGATAGATTGAATCCATGATTGTATTAACTGCGGGCCTTTAATTAAAATATTCTTTAAAGCACGCTTGCGTTTTCGATATTCGCCGTTTCTTTCAGCGTTTTTACAGTTTATGTTCCCTAGAAATGTTAATCAAATGTCAAATGTATAACTAGTTTTAAATAGCACTCTATTCAATTCGATCAAGTAAAATTAGTATAAATTTCGATCAAGTAGAATTCGTAATGATTTTGATTAATGACGCCCATGTACCATGCCCAATTTTCGTTCAAATTCACCTACATAGTTAACTCTATGATGCTATGAAACTAGGACATAGTATCATGCGCTAGCCCTATGCTTCTCCTAGGATAGAAGAAAGAGAAAAAAAAATTCGTTTAAATAAAAATTCGGAATAATTGATGCCCTAATTTGCATCCAGTTGGACTTATTTTACATTCAAAATTTGTTTGAAACATTCGGACTTAAAATTTATTATAGTATAGTGCCATTCAAGTTGGCAAACTCTGATCATTTACTTAATTTTTTCATTTTTATTTCATTCTTTTTTGTTTTTTGTTTTATAAAATTTTTGTTGTCAGACTTTTTGGATTATACAAGAGTATTAAGCAATAAAGTCAGTATATAAAAGAATGAATTGATGACGAGAGGATCATCAATTGATTAAATCAGTTTCGGTGTCCTCTAATTGGTATCATCAACATTATTGGATTTTTCTTTAAAAATCATTAGTCATGATGATAAACTTTTTGTTAGATTAAGAAATTCAATCATCCCAATTATCTTTTCGGTTTTTTAGGTTTTTTTTTTTTTTAAAGTACGTTGAAAAGCGTTTTATGATATTTTCATGCTCAGAATTTACGATTGTAAAGATGGCATTTTTGTTTTTTTGTTTTTTTTTGTTTCTGATGTTTTTATCGATTGTTTATTTTACGTAAATTATAATCCTTTGACCATAAAACTTTTTTTAATCTGAGATATTTTGTTATTTTCCCTTTGAGGTCAAATCGGTTTTATGTTTATTTTATTTGTTTTTCTTTTTTATTATGTATTTTATAATGGAGGCAGATGGATGAAAAAAAGATTTGGGTATAATTTGTTTTTTTAAATGTTGATGGCTTTATTTATTTTATTTTTTGCTTTGTTATTATTTTAATGAGGAAGAGTTCGAAGAAATAAAGGAGAAAATATTAGTTAGGAAGCTATTACGATGATGTGCATTAACATGACATAATGATTGACTTAAAAAAAAATTTTTTTTTTAATATTCTCAAATTTAACTAATTGCAGGAAGTGAAATAATGATGACGAATGATTGATGATATTTTAGTTTTGAAAATATTTAGGAGGTTTGTTCAAATGTTTTTTTTTATTGTCCTTGAAACTCTTTTCTTACTTATGAGGATTTTCTTCATGTCTGTCCATACCATATTTATGATGTAACTTTTTCTTATTAAGTCGAAATAAAGCAATGTTTTACAAAGGGATCTTCATGAAGTAATAAAATTGATTGGTCATGAAATTCAACATGAATAATGAAAAATACCCAACAGCGCATATTTTGAATAGAAAATGGGCAATAATAATTTTTGATTACAAAAAAACTGTCTTTTATTCAAACTTCAAATTTTATAAATAATAAAATGATGATCCAGAGATGTGGAAACCATAGAGACTGCGAAATTTTAAAGGTTAATAGAAAGCTTTAGTTTAACTTTATCATGTAAAAGAATTCTGAAATTTCTTTTGTACCACACAATTTTAAAATGAGGGCAATTCAATTTAGAACCTCATTTATTAAAAATATTTCTCTTCCTAAATTTACTAATTACAAAAAGTCATGCAGAGTAAAGTTAACATTATAACTATCATCAAAATTTGAGGAAAAATAAATTTGGATCAAATTAATTTGGATAAAAAATAGCACATTTCCCCTGAACAAGTAAAAATAAATTTTTTTTTAGAAACAATCTTGTACAATTGCATACTTTTCGGATGAGAACAAAAATTGAATTGTTTTGTTGTACAATAAGTAAGGTCGCAACTTTATTGCGTTTGCCGAAAATGTTTGTGATTTCGATAGAACTGTAAAGATTTAATATTATTAGAGCTCTAAGGTACCATAGAGGTTTCATTCTTCATTTAGAGGTTTCTCAGTAAGATTCATTTGTAAACAAAATTTCAATTCTCAATTTTAATGGTTGTAGAAGCTTTTTAAATATTTACACGACGGACGGGCGGTACAAAATGAAACCGAAAATTTTTTTGTAACTTTGCTGGAAATGTGCTAAAAAAACAACAATAAAACATTATTAACTCAAAAGTAAAATCCTTTCATTGTCATATTCAACAGGTTTAATAAAATTCATAGTTAATTAAATTTCATAATTGATGGTATTTTTTTTTCTCTGTGTGATTTTATATTTTTTCCTTTTTCCATATTATTTATTATATATGAATGTTTAATTAATTATTATAAATGTCATTAAAAAGAATTTCTGCTTGACCCAACATTTTTCTTAATTATGAAAATATTATATAATCATTTATACATATATATACTAATTATGTACATATTAATGTTTATTTTATTATTAATTAAAGGTTGTTCATTAAGTGGGAATATAGTACCGGAAGGTCAAGAAGTAACATCAATTGAAGATCCTTGTTTAAAATGTACATGCATAAATAAGAGGCTAACATGTATAAAAAAAGCTTGTCCAGTTTTACAATGTCCACCATCAAAACAGGAGCATAAACCAAATGAATGTTGCCCTAAATGTACAGAACGAAAGCAATATATGTCATTGCCCAGTAAAATGAGTAAGTTTAATATTACATAATTCCATTTTTTTAGGCTAATAATGGAATTTTATATAAGATTACAAACTATAAACAACAATATATGTATGTATGTATTCAATATAAAGCACGTTATTTAAATAAACTTTAAAATATTATAAATTTCACGATAAAGTTAAAACAATCAAAAAAAAAATTTAATATTTTTGACAACTAAAATCAATTTAAAAACGTTACGCTGAAAAAAAAGAAATATTTTCGTTATGAATATGCTTAATATCGTAGAAATAATCGAAATATATTATAAACACAAATCTATGCATATACATACATACATATATATGTAAATTTACCAATGAACCCAATTCTTAATGACGTGTCTGACTTAATTTTTTTTTTTAATCAAAATACCAAGCACATATTTAAAAAGATCTGAGAAAGCTTTAGAAGAATAAGAAACAAAAAAAAATAAAAAAAAAACTAAAAATAAATATGAATTCGCATTTTTAATATCGAAAAAGTATTTTAATCGATTGCGCATGGCGATCAAAAAACCAGAAAATCGCAATAATTCATATCTTGAACAGCTTGAATCCAATTATTCAATCATCAGCAGCGTGAATGTCCATGTTGTTGTTGTTGTTTGCTTTTCATGTAAATTGTTCTGAAAATCAATATGACCAATTAAGAAATTAGAAATTCTGATTTGATTTGAACGATAGTAATGACGACGTCGACGACAGGAACGACCATCAAATATAATCATGTTGACGACTATACCAGTGAAATTTTAATTCCATCTTATATACCTACATACATACATCTAAACGTAATGTTTATGTACATAATGTCTGAATGCAAATATAAGTGAATGTATCGTTAGTGTGCATTAAAAACGTGAACCTAAAACACAAAAAAAAAGAAAGACTTATGTAAATTAATTGATATTCTAATTATGCACATAAATTTTAATTGTATATATACATATATATTTATATATATATTTTTTATTAATACAGGTACTCGTTGTTTATTTGGTAAACAAGCATACCCGGATGATGGACGATTATATAACCAAGATAAATGTTCATCATGTCAATGTAAAAATGGTACAACCATATGTAATCGTGTCACTTGCCCAATATTAGAATGTTCACCAGAATCACAACAAATAAATTCAGATGATTGTTGTCCGCATTGTCCGAAATATAATACAGAAATTCGACGTTCAACATGTACTCATCAAGATAAAATTTATCAAAATAATGAAACATGGCATGTTGGACCATGTCGATCATGTAGATGTCTAGGTGGTGAAATACGTTGTGTTCTAACACAATGTCCGCCTGTAAAATGTGAACCAAATGAATCATTAGTTACACATGAAAGTCAATGTTGTCCAAAATGTGAAGCAAGTGCCGGTACTTGTACCGTATTTGGTGATCCACATTTTAAAACATATGATGGTAAATTTTTCAGTTTTCAAGGTTCATGCAAATATCAATTGAGTGCAGATTGTTTAGATGATACATTTAGTATTCGTGTAACTAATGAGGCTCGTAATACAAAACTTTCATCATGGATTAAGACTGTAACATTGAAATTAAAAGAATTAAGAGTTAATTTAGGACAAAAATTGAGAGTTAAAGTTAATGGTACTAGAATAACCTTACCATATAGTTACAATAATATTGTTGATGTAAAACGAATAAAAGATGGTGTTATAGTTAAAACTGATTTAGGTGTTACAATTGAGTGGGATGGTAATAATTTTTTACAAGTTTTAGTACCAGCAAAATATAAAAACAAATTATGTGGATTATGTGGAAATTTTAATGGTTTAGTACGTGATGATTTAACATCACGTGAAGGTTATAATCATTCTGAAGAAGATGTATGGCGTTTTGCAAATTCATGGAAAGTTGGTGGTTTAAAAGCATGTAGTAGAGCACGTGATAAATTAGCTAAAAAACCGACATGCCGTCGTAGAAAATGGGAAATATGTGAACCATTACGTACATCAGCAATATTTGGTAATTGTGATAACGAATTAAATCCAACAAATTATTTTAATGCATGCTCAATGGATATGTGTGAATGCCCTTATGATGGTGCATGTCAATGTGATAGTTTTGCCGCATATGCACATGAATGTCAGCGATTAGGTTTTGAATTACCAGATTGGAGACAACAAACAAATTGCCCATATCGTAATTCAACAACAAAATATAATTTAAATACACGAATAAATTATAATAATAAATTACAAGAGAGTATACCACAAGTTTTTGTTAAACAGAAGCAACAACCACAGAAACGACGTAGAACAACACCATGGCCACATAATTATTATATACCGAAAGCTTTGTTAATACCAAAACCAGCTGGTAGAACACCACCGCCTTTGCACTGAACATTTAATTAAATTTAGATGTATGTATATGTATATATATATATATATATATACGTATACATACATTACCCTACATTAAAAAAAATGTATTTATAGTTATTTGAAATTTTAATTCTTACACATTTATTAAATTATTATAGGAAAATAATTATATTTTTTATGTAAAAAAAACAAAAAGCCAATAAAAAATAAAATTCTATTATGAATTTACATTTAATTGCAACCAATACACGTATTAAATATGAAAGGAGTAGATTTTATTTTATTTTTGTATTTTTAATGTTTGTGTATATTGCAATAATGTTGAATGCTATGATTGTGTTTAAGATAAAATTTAAAACATTCTCAAATAAAATTTTCTCTAAATGTTATTACAAATTTAATTAATTTAATTATTTTTATTTAAAAAAAAAGGAAATTAATTATTATATAATTATAGGAAATTAGTATTTTTTTTTGTTTAGATTAAATTTATAATTTATTAAAAATAAGCTTCATTTGTGAACATACATAATACATTTCATATACATATATAAATTCATTTTTAAAATAATATAATTAAATAAACTTAATTTAATTTAAATTAATTATTAAAATAAAAGTTTTATTTGTATATATACATACATATGCATTATGTATATTGTAAATTCATATTTAACATAATTAATTTAATTAAAAATATTCACAACATTATAATTATAATATTACTGTAGTTATGCGTGTATATTTTTCACACACTATTTAAAATTTGGTAATAAGATGAAAAGAATAAAAATTATATTAAAAGTAAAAGTAAACTATTGTCCAAAAAAATCAAAATACTTAAATATACATATGCATATAATATATAATATTTAATGTGAACTACTAAATTAAAAATTTATTACACAGTATCTACAATAAGAGGATTAGATATATTGAAGTTTCATAAAAAATACATAAATATATTTAAAAAATATAATAATACGAATAATTTTAAATGTAAACTGCTGGTAATAGGAAATTTTCATTATTATTATGACTTAATCATTCACTTTAATGGTTCTCAGCTTGGTCATGTATAAAGTGGAACTATAATTCAACATACTAAAATACAACTGCGTGCATAATAATAAAAACACAGATCTTTACTAGTATAAATTTTTGTTTTATTACTAATAATTACTAATAACTTCATTTCAATATAACAAAACAAAAAACTTAAAATATTTTAGTCTTACAACAATAGCTTCATAAAAATTTAGTATGAAAAAATTTCAAGTACGAGTACTGCTATTAATTTGCACGCAGTTGTATTTTATGATATTCTGAAATATAAAAAAAAAAATTATAATTTATTTAAATATGGGTAAAAATTCTAAGTTAAAAGAAAAAAAAACTGGAACTTAAGAAAATGAATTGTATATCAAACACAACGCAATTACGTAAAAATTTTCGAAAGTCCAATATAAACTATTAAAAATGAATTAAAGAAGAGAATTACAAAAATAAAACATTTACACCAAAGAAATTTTTGTAATCAAATTTTTGTAAAAGCGTTGAATGTCACTTATTACTAATTATTTAATGAACTTACAGATGGCGCAGATGGATAATTGAAATATTAAAAAATTTAAGATTTTTAATTTCCTCATTTCGAGCAATTCGGATTACAGAAGCATTAATATTTAAACTTTTTAAAATTTAATTTTCAAAAATTTTTTAATTTCTTCTGTGAGTACTATTAAAGAAAAAAAACTAAATAAAAAGTACTAATATATAAATAAATTCATAAAAAAAATATGGTTAATCCAACAAAAAAAGCACTGCCAAATTAGTTTAAAAAAAATTCTTATCTAAATTAAAAAGACGATCACTTACGTCAAAAAATGATAAGATAAACGATGAAGATAATTAATCCTGTCCTTCCCTCGTATACATGAAAAAAAAACTAAAATTTCCTTATTTTCCAAATTTATGAAATTTTTGTTGGTAATAACACTAATAAAAATATTTTTTAATATACTAAAACATGCACAAATTTTTCTTAAAAATTTTTATCTTATTAAAATTTAACAAAATTTAACTATGAACATATTATGTAAACAAGATGAAAAACGGTATATAAGCAAAATGTAAAATGCAAAACACAACTATAAGATAATTAAATACTTAAAATTTGATATTAATTTTAATTTTGCCACATTTATTACAATTATTATTGCAATATTTTTAAAATTATAAACATATTGTATAGTATGTTCGTTTACACAAATTCCAGTTAGTATTAGTATAAATGTATCCATATAATATGTTATTACAATTATTAATTAATAAATTTTATTCGAACCCTTTAAAATAAAGCAGAAATTATAATTATAAATTTTTAAAATTCTTCTTATGCAAAATTTGTATCATTTGATTCGGTTATTTTTAATATATACATATATATATATATATATAGTATGTATTTAATTACACAATATTTACAATCAAAATATTGCACTTAAACTAATTAAATCGTATATTATATACTCGTATATGAAAGGAAAATTTATTTTTGGAAATTTTTTAATTTCCAACACATTATATCATTATTATCTATACCAAAGTAGATAACTTAAAAATGATATTTTGAAAATATTATTAATTTGTACGCATAAATAAAATAAAAACTTTATATATATAAATATATGTAATATTAAATTTCAAATCATATATATAAATTGTATTGAACATGAAACAAGCAATTTGCAACAGAGTTGAATTTATTTTTAATTTTGACGATTCTCTATAAAATATAATAAAGTAATCTCTGTATAACAGTTAAAATTTATTCGTTATAATGAAAATTAAATTGAAATGTTAAACTCACATTTACTTTACTTGGTAAAAGTATGTTAATAAAGTTATAAGGATGTTTGCAATAATATTATTTTTTCACAACTGCCCCATTATTCCATATTCTCTTCGAATTTTTAAACTGCTTCGAATTTTTATAGCAAAACGGATAACTGTTTTGATAGTAATATTAATTGATTTCCATTTATTATTATTGTGTTTGAAATTTTCAAACTTCAGTCCGGTTTTTCAAAAAAAAATTAATATAATCTATGGAAAAAAAACAATTTTCAAACACAATATAGAATTGCAAACTTTTCGATTTTATTTTAACTTTAATACTATTTTTTAATTTTCGTAATCTATTTGGCAAGCTATATAACTGGTTGTTCGAAACGGAAACGTAGAATTTAATATTTGTATAATGAAGCTTGCGGTAATAATCAAAATTTATATGTATGTTGTCATTAATATTGCACAATCATTTTATTTTGGTTAAAATATTTTTTTTATAATATACAATTACGTTTTTTTTTTGTAAAATGAAGCATAAATTATACTAAAAAGCAAATCATATAATTAATACTTAAAAATATTCATGATAATATATTTATGTACTTATATACTATAATAAAATATCATCTAGTAAAATAAAAATATTTAAAATAAATTAAAATTTTGAAATTAAATTAATATTATTCCATAATTAAATATTAATGAATTAAAAATTAATTAAAACTGAGAACATTTTCTAATTAAATACAATTAATAAAAAAATAAACAAACATACATTATAATCGTATTTATACAAATTGTAATATCAGTAATCTTTTATAAAAATAGCACTCCCCTATACAATAACAAAAATTTCTTCTTTGCTTAAAACTTAAACGATTTAAACAATTTTTAAAAATAAAAAATAAATTAACAAAATTTAATATCTACAACATTACTCGTATGTCACATTTTAGGCTTCTTTTCTTGCACAAATTTAAAATAATAAAAAAAAATAAACCATTTAATATTCATAAATAATATATTAAATAAATTTTTTGTTATAAATTTATTTTTCTATATAAAAAAAAAGACTATATATAATATTTATGTATTTTGAATTACATATATATATTATACGCAGATATATGTATTTATATATATATATATATTATAGCTAATTAATTATAATAAGAAAAATATTAAAATCAGTATAAAAATATAAAACATAAAAAAATTTATTGATTAATCTACAAAAAAAAAAGCAAAAATTTAAACTATTTAAACAAAAAAATTAAATAAATAAAATATAATCGTAAAATTTAATTAGATAAATTTTATTAGTGATGTGTTAAATTTTTTATTTTTAATAATAATAATAATATTATTAAAATAATAAAAAACAATTTTGTTTTCTTTATTTTTATTATTATTTTAAATTAATGCAATTAATTTATAAATTATATTTTTAATAGTAATAATTTTATTATTATTATGATTTTATTAAATAATTAAAAAAAATTTTTTATGATATAATTTAAAAATTAATAAAATAACTATAAAAATCACAATTATATTAATAGGCGAAAAAAAAAATAATATTATATAAATTTAATTTTTAATTTAAAATTAAAAGAAATGTATTTTATTTTTTAAGATTAATTTATTAATTTTTTTTTTCTAGTTCTAAATATTTTTTTTAAAAACAATATTACAATTTATATATGATATTTAATTATAATAATAATTATTTAAAATTGAATTTAATTAAATAAAATTATTATTTAATTATTATAATTGTTTTACAAAATGAATTGTTGTATTTAAGAATTTATTTCATACATACTATTATTATTATTTTACCATAAGACCATTTAATATTAAAATAAATAAATTAAAAAAATAAAAACAAAAAAAAATAAACACAAAAAATTTATATTAGTTAAAATTATATTAGTAATAAAATAATAATAATAATAATAATAATTATGATATACTGATAGTAACACTATTATGTAACATGTATATTATTAAAATTCATGAAAAAAAAAAACAGAAATAAAAATAAAAATTATGTTATTCTTTGTGACACTAAAAAAAAAACAAAACAAAACACTAAATTAATTTAAAAAGTAAAATAACAATAGCATAAAAATATAAAATACAAAAACAAACAAAATAAAGAGGTATTAAGGTATTAAAAAAAAAATTATTGATATAGAAAATATAAACATAAATATGAAATGATGACGATGGTTAAAACAAAATAATAAAACACAAAAAAAAATATTAAAATGAATTTTCATACCAAAAACAAAAACAAATGTTGTTTTTATTTAAATCTAAACAAACAAATAATTCTATTCAAATTGTTCTTAGTTTTATGTCTGCTGCATACTTTTAGGGGGTTTAACAAAATTATTTTCAGAAATGTTAATGACTATAACGGTCAAATTAAAAGGCCAATTTAGATTTTTAAATTTAAATTAAATGTTCTGATAGAAGACCGTTTACCATCACCTTTTCGCCTTAAAACCTAAATTGTGGATTTAATCTGCTTTATTCTGCTAATGTCCTGGTAAATTAATAAGATATATGTATCTAAATTTAATAGATATAGAAGGGACATTTTGTTCTAATTTTTGAATTTTGCAATTTGCAGGC